ATCTAGAAAGAAGTGTTGGCCCTGTCACACACACTCTTCTGCAGAGCAACGTTGTTTCAGGAGTTACAGTTTAAATTGTTCAGCTCTGCAGGTTATCTGAAGCTATTCCATTGTTTTACTTATAAAACAAGGTGATGTACAAGACAAGTGGAGAAAACTGTCTTTTTTGGTATAAATAACTGCAAGTTTTACGATTCCATAATGTTAAGTTTAAAGTTTTGCTCTTTTTCTTTGAGGTTTTTGGCATTAAAGCCTTAAAATGCATAACGCCACTCACACCGTTGCATTGACTCATTCAGTCTGTCAGAAAATCGCATCAGTGTAACAGTTACCTTTTAAAAAATCAAAATGCAAGCCATCAATATCAACATGAAATCCATACAGAGCTTAAGATCTGTTCATTTGCCTGCAGTCATTTTATTGTGGCACCAATCCTTTACTTAGAGGCGCCATGTTCTGTGTGTCCTTTAAAAGTAAAGACATAATTGGTCAGTTAATGATTGGAAGTGATCACTTAAGTTTGATTTATGCATTGTCCTTGGATGTATAATTCTATATCGTAATAAAAGAAAAACCTTACCCGAGTTTTAGCGTGCCACCTTAAAGGATAAAGCTTTGAATGTAAGGTTTATCATAATATAAATTGTATAATGTTGGTTTCTATTACCAAGCATTTTGCCTCCCATTGGTGGCCTAGAAGTTGTAAAAAATATATATATATATAAATAAATTAAAAAAGAGAAACTTTTAATAATTGGATCAATTAAAATTAGGTAGCAGTTCTGAAGAAAGAATCTCCTGTTTTAGGAGCATCCTGTTAAAAATTATGTTTACCTTTTTGTTGTGTTTCAGCCTCTTGTTCCACCATATTCATTTTCTACCTGGGCATAAAAGTTGTTAGGGTTTTTTTTTTTTATTTCCTTTTTTTTTTAAGTGCTCTTTATGAAGAACTGTCCGAACTACTTCAGGGTTATATAAAAATAATCACCTCCCTTTTGAGATCATAAAATAATTGTGATTAACCAAGCAGAGTTGAGTTTCCCCAGTCACACCCTGATCACTATCTGATCTGTATTTTCAAAATTCTGGTTCTATTTCAGGAATTTCTTGTCGGGCAACATGAAGAGTTTAAAAAAAGAGAAAAATGTCACACCAAAGATCTAAGATTGATTCATAGCTGTCTCTAAGGCCTGCTGGACTTTCACCATTTTCAGTGAAAGGAGAAAATGTATACCTTTGATTAAACTTTCCCAGGAGTGTCTGGACTTCAGAATTACCCTTTAGTCATCTAGCAGGACATGAAGGAACCAGGAACAAACCACTGAGAACATTTGATTCCGTTTCTAAATATCCAGTGGATTCTTTAGAATGGAGCTTAATGGAAGCTGTGTTTGAGACGTTACATCTAGTTTAAAACTAACCGTATTTCACAAAAAGATTGTTACAAAGGAAAATATTTACCGGTAGTATGATCGGGGGGGATTTGGCTCAACTATCTGTAATGAATTGAAGTATGATTTCTTTTTGCTTCTAAACTTTTCTGAAGCTAATGTCCAACTATCAGATACAGACTTTAAGTGCATTTGCTTTTGCAGCAACATGATGATCTTTGGAAAAAAAAAACAAAATGCACTTCCAATTAGCTCCAAAAAAAAAAAAGGCTCAAAAATCCTCCTGCATGATTGTTCTTAACAATTTCACAAAGAATAAGTACAAATCCTTCTATTGCCAGTTATCACCATGCTTGATTGCAGAGGGAGACACTTTTTCACAGAGAACCAGGCTGGTTTGGGAAGCTTTTCTCTCCTAATGAATAAAATCATAAAAAATAAAATGCTTTTTTTTCTGTTTACTTACATTGTTCTTTTAAATTTCTTTACAATCTAAAACTTCTTAGAAAAATAAAAGAAGGAAACCCCACTTTGGAGTTTCTTTTAACAGAACTAGTTAGAGCTTTGGAGAACAGGAATAAAAAGAAAAGCATTTGCTCCAAACTGGTGAATGGATAAAGGTGGGTTAATGCTTATGTTTTCATGTCTACTCGCTTCTTTTTAATTGGACAAAATCACAGCTTTATATAAATAAGCGTTTAAACTGACAAAGTAATGAGACCTTGTCTGGAACATCCTAGATGGGCCTTTAGGATGGAGTGTGCTGATGAAGGTTCTCAGTCATCCAGGTCAAAGTCATTCCGTAAAAATTACAAAAAATATCCACTGGACTTGGTTTTCAAGATTTGAAGACGTTTCGCCACCTCTCCAGGAATCCAGACATTTGAATTGAGAAAGCTTCCTGGAGAGGTGGCGAAACGTCTTCAAATCTTGAAAACCAAGTCCAGTGGATATTTTTTGTAATTTTTACGGAATTTAGGATGGAGTATTTTGAGCTCCAGCTGGTGACACGTTTATTTGAAACTCTCCCCTGTTGCAATTATTTCCCATCAAAGCAACCTTTTTATGCGTACTTTTCAAATGCAAATAAAACAACTTAGTGTTGCATTGAACCTACCTGCCAGTTCTCTTCTGTTTGTACTGTAACATGAACAGCAGTTCAATGAAACTGTTCCTGAAATGAATAGAGACTGAATTTTCAGACTGATTCTAATTAGCTTGGTTTTAAGCCTCCAACCTGGTTCTGTTTTAGATTGATTGAGAAGACAAAAAAACAAACCAATATTTCCTCACCTGTTTGATGTGTTCCTAAATGATTGCATGAATTAAAGAAAACTGATCATGGGATTATTTCACATATTAATGGATATGAGGTATAGTGTGTTTGGCATCTACTGGGCTTAAAAACTAAAGCTTCAGTAGATGTGTAAACTAGAAGTTGTCATATTTTTTAGCCATCATTCAAATACTTTTTTTTTCCTGTTGGATAATAATCTTTCAGATAATACTGGCCTTTATGACTCATGTGTGGAATCTGGTATCATCTAAAGATTTTTATATTTCCTGAACAGCCTGGACAGGTCAGATTTGTTTTTTATTCTCCATAAACCTGCTCCTTCTCGCTTTCACTCTTTTTCTCTCATCTAATTTTGTCAGGTGCATAAATGTCTGTGTTTCAGTTTTTCAATGCGTCACCTCAAAATGAATAAAAACAGGATTGTAAGTCGTTTCTGGTATGGTTTCATCATAATTGCTCACCTGGATCTGTGGGAATAAACCTGATAGTTCTCTGACAGTGGACACTTCTGGCTGCATGTTTGGGGTTCTGTTAATGCTAAAGCGTAAACTTCAGCTCCATTCTCATATCCCTCACAGCCTCTAAAAACTTTTCTCCCTGTCCTGTATTTAAACATTCACACATCATAATGCTGCCACTACCTTGAATGAACTACATTTTTAGTTGGTCCACCAAATATGTTTTGCACTCAGCTAAAATTTTTTTATTTTTATTCCAATCTATCCTTATTTCCGTGCTTTCTGCACTCTGTCTATTCTTTGAAGCTGCAAAAAGGACCTATTTATGAAAATCCCTTCAGCATCTGTCTCTATGCAACTCTTTCTTTAAGCTTTCATTTTGGATCTCTGTAGTTCTGCCAGAGATGCTTATATCTGCTTTGACCGATATTCTCCTTGCCTGGTTTGTCCCTTTAGACTGATGACTGTTCCTTGGTTGTTTTTTCTGTCGTGTTAAAATTTCAAGTTGCAATTTGCTTTAAACTTCCCCATTCTCTATGCTTTCTCTTGATCTCTATGCTATGTTCCATAGATCTTCAAGATGCTATTTTGTTTAACAAAATTTGCCAAAAAACCTCAGAGTTCTGTTTGTTTGGAAAAAAGGATCTCTGAAGGTGAACTCAGGGGACTTTATTTAAGGATATTAAATAGAAGACAAGCAATCCATATTATTTTAAGAAGAAACTATTCTGATATAAAATTACTTCTTTTCAATGCTGTCTCTATAAATGTGGCTCTTCATCTGCCATTTAAATATTGCTGATCACCACTATGGGTCATTTGCTTTTGTAAAAAGATTTTTTTTTACTTATCTTATTTCTTGAGGTTATAATACCAGGGGTCTGCAACTTGTAGCTCTTTAGACTCTCAGCAATGGCTACTCATCACTTTGGCTTTTGGCTTAAAAAAATGATGAAAATGCAGCTAATATTTATTGATATTTAGTTACAAACGTTGCTAATATGCTGCTTAGTTTTTTTTTTCCATTCGCTAATTGCATTGAATTTCTAAAAAAAAAAAAAAAGCCTATTAATATGTCAGATATACATATATATATATATATATTTATTTATCTTTTTAAGTTGGAATGTATTTAGCCTCTTTTCCATTTTTTTTAATCATAAACCCTAAAATTTAAAATGGCACTGTGATGATTTAAAAAAAAACAAGTTCAAATCTTTGTTAGGTATTCATTAAATATAAGTTCTGTTTGTGACTCTAAATAAGTTTTATTGGGCTGAACATAAGAATGGCAATTTGGATTATAAAGGCTGCAGACCCCTGATATGTACACTTCTTAAATTACCTTATGATCATACAAAGTCCAGTTATCCAGCAGTCATCTGTTACCCCAAAGCTGCAGACCTTGGTGTCAAACCATCCTGGACCTCGCTGTTACATGTTGGAGGGTTTAAATGGTTTCTTTCCAAAACTTCCATAAAGCCCTAACTCTTTTTTTTTCCCTTTCAGATTTTTGACGGCTATATTAAAGTCACACCTTATAATACATAGAATATGATCATTTGGGTTAACATGTTGGTTCATTTATATTTAGGGCATCAATGTTTGCGGTTGTGCTGGGAGTTTTCGATATATATTCCCTAAAGGTCTTCGACGTTCATATGATGCTCAATAATCATTTGAATAAAAATGCTCGGTCTCACAACAAGATGTTTGCAAGGTTTTTGAAATTAAACTCTGCTAATGTAGATATGTGTGTAATGTAAATATACATATGCAATGTTTTAAAAAAGAAAATAGGACAATGTGTCTTTCCGTAAAAGAAAACAGGTTATTACCTCAGAAAAAAAAACATTATACGTAAAATATTTAGAACAAAAAGTATCAAAGCAAATTCTGAAAATACTGCAATAAAATATCAAATGAAACTAAAAAAACTCAAAATAAACTTAAATGTGTATACTTCCTTACATAACCGCTAGATGGCGCAAGAAGCTTAGATTCCAAATCACAGGCAGGGGAGCTTATTTGTCCTAAACTTTAATTTGGCCCTTTCTACTTTGAAAATAGTATGATGCCAGTAAAAAACTAAAAACATTCCTGCTCTATGCTAGACGTTCAAATTAAAAGGACTATGTGAATTTAGAGGGTCCAAAATAATATAGTTTCAAAACCTTCCAGTAAAAACGTTTTATTCGTGGTGACAGTAAGAGTTAGAGTCTTGGTGTGAGGTTGAGCGTTTATCATGATAGTTATTACACAAGCGTTTAGCAGATGCCACGCCTGAAAACAGTGTTCATAGCTAAAAACAGTAACATTACATATTTCTCTGGAAGTGCTCGTTTGCAGTCGTGCCCGCGCAGGCGTGGCTCCTTCGCTCGTGCCCGCCACCCCTCCCCCATCTACAAAACCAAAGCGCGTTAGCCTGCCGGCGCGCGCTCCCGTCAACTAATTCATTGTATCGGGCAGAAAGAGGAGGAAGCAGCGATCGACTGGGGCTGACTGGAAAGCCGCTTAGCTTCGACAAATACTGAAAAACCCGACCGCTCGACACGTAAACTGAAGGTAAACTACTTAATATGCCACAAAAAGACACAGAGAAGGAACTTGTTTCGTGTTGCTTTGTTTAAAAGTTGACGACTTAATTTTTGAAAGTTGTCCTTGGATTTCGGAGGCCAAGGCTAAAGGCTAGCTCGGTTAGCTTACTGTAGCTAAGTTAGCTCCCCCCACTGTCCGACCTCGGTTTCTTTGCTTCTTCCGCACTTTGCCACATTACTTGTTGGGGGGGAAAACATAGACGGATGTCTTACTAGTTAAGAAATCAACAGTGTTTAAGTTTATTTCGCCTACAATCTCCGGTCCTGGGAGTTCAAATTGGAACTGATGAAGGATTTGTCGGGTTTTAAAACTGAGCCTGAAAGACTGGCCTAGATTGGCGAGCCGTAACCAAACAATGAGGTCCTTTTTTCCGTACTTACCTCTGCTAATCAGACGGCTTCTTATCTCTTAATCGCTCGTCCTTTAGTCATGTTTTTTTATCCCCATTTGTACGGTGTTTACGATACAATTGGACTAACAGTAAAGTTACTTACATTCTCGTATTAAACCTTTTTTTTTTTTTTTTAGATTTTGGGGCTCAGTTGTGATTATGCACCATATCTTTATTAAATCAAGTTTATTCGATATTTTAAATATTAATTATAAGTAGTTCAAATGTTAATGAATAATCTATGGACTGTATTGAGTTGTGTAGTTTAGTGTATGTCGGGGCCACCCACCCATTCTTCCACTGCGGACACACTAGCCATCTGTTGCCTCTGTGATGACGCCATCTTTCTGGTGACCCACCCAGTGGCATGCAGTTTAAAGGAGGAAAAAAAAAAGTTTATTTTAACACTGGTTGCTTTCTTTCTATGCACAGATGCTGTTTTTATTTTCCATGCCTTGCATGTAGTGATTTGCTGCCCTTCATCAGCAGATGCCAGCTATACATGTTTTATTCACTTTAGGCTTTAGGACGCTGTGGTATTGACATCCTTCATGGTTTTTCATAATTATTCCTATTAATTAATACTGCGTTGAAGCTCTGGCTACTTGCATATCTTAACTCTAAAAGGAAAGACTATAAATGGCTGCAGTCTTTGCTTCCCTTTTCTGTTCATATCTGCAACTGGCATTGTGAATATATTAAAGCTTTGTGTGCATTTTAGTAATTATTTGTTATGGCACTGTTGTTGAATTGGGGCATATCTTTTGTTTTAAAGTTAAATGAACCCACACTTGCACTAGTTACCATGATATGCTGGTTGATCTTGCCAATGAATAATATGTTCACTATTTGAATAGAACCATGGTGTTTAGTGGCATCTATGACGGGTGGGTGTGTGCTGGTTTCACTGCAGTTTTTTTTTTCCATGCCATCAACCTCAAAGCTTTGGAGTAAATTTATCTTCTGTCCTCTGAAGAAAACCAGTGTCCTCTTTAACAAACCATGGATTAATTCAGCTAGTTTGCAGAAGCGTTCCTCAGTACGTATAGTACAACAAAATCAAACTGTATGTGTTTATGCCAATTATAATTTCTCTGATGCAGTATACTGGAAATTTTAAATCCAGTTTCGGAAGCTAATGATGCCAGATGACTTGTCATATTTGTTAATTTATCTATTGCTACTGCCCTGCATCAATGTCCGAAGCAGAGCATGCATACTGTACACTGACTTAATTCCACTTATTGAAAGGTTACGTCATATTCTCGGGGATATTCTCTGATTGTTGTCTCTTCCTCAGACCAAGAATAGACCTCTATTTAAAGCGCAGCAATGTCATACGCAATGATTTTCATTCCACAGGTTGACTTTGGAAAGTTTTGGTAATTAGTTAGGGGATGGTGTATTGGATGTAAATTTGTTTTTGTTATTTGAAATATTCTAAGACATGAGAAACATTTTTGCTGTGTTGACATGCCTTGATATCCTAGCTTTTGATCACATTTACTTTATCATTTCTAATAAGATTTGTTCTCTCATATATTTCAGTTACAGCTACAAATCCAGTATCTATTTAATATTAAAAATATTAAATAAATACTTATTATACTTGGATATAGCAGATATACAGAAAAAAGAGGAACTATGTGTACTTTTTGGAACAAAGTATTTCATCAAAAGTATTGTTTAAGCTTGCACAAACTGCATGTGTTTTAGTGCAATTGACATCCTGCAAACCACCTTTAAAAAAAAAAATAGAAATTTTCCTTATCTTTTTTTCCCCACACGTACGATATTAAATGTAATTCAGTAATTTTATTGCATGTTGGGCATCTAGACATGATATACTCCCCCCACAAGAAAAACACCTGCAAACTTTCTGTCTGGCTGAGGACTGTGGTGTATTTCCTGCCGGTTGCCTGTAAAAGCAACCTCATGTTGTGTAAAGGATGAGATGATGAATCATCTCGTAAACGACAGATTCTTCTGTAACATGCCGACAGCTATGTCATACCAGGCAGTAATGCATATTGAAAAGTTGCACCTAACACTCTTCTACACCCTAGACATCTGTGTTTTAAAATAACTTATTTAGAAGCCTCTTTAGTGGGTTTGGAGTGATGGCTACTTGTCAAAATTGTTGATTGTATCATTGACTTGTTTTGGGGATTTATTTTGATAAACTTTGAAACATTTTATTCCTCTCTGTCCTTTCTGTTAGACATAATCCATTTAAAAAAGGTTACAGTCATATTTTTCTGATTGGAAATGTAGTTTGGAGTCACATCTGACGTGGTGATATATATTTAGCCCCAATGTTTGTCAAAAACTTTTCCCCAACATTTGACTGCTGCTCATAGTCTTATATAATTGTAAAATGTCCTTTTTCCTGTCATCAGGTTTTACTGCTTTTGGTGGCTTTTATTTTCTTTAGCATTTAGATAGTTTTGTATCAATGTCCTGGGCGAGCGTGTAAAATTTACACACCAAATAAAAACTCCCCTCTCCGTTAGAAACATGAGCTGATGGACAGTGTCTGTTAAGACTCCTGCTCATGACGACACCTGAACAGCCTCTGTTAAAAGCAGGTCACACGTCTCTTGACCCACTGGCTCTTTTATTCAAACCTTGACCATAGACCCACCTCTAGGCTACAGCTGTCCCCACTTTCTTTTCTTTGTATGCTCAGTCATAAAGGGAATGATCTAATGTTTTTGGCACTGCTGTCCTACTTAAGACTATTCATGAACCATTGTAGGACACACGCAGCACCTCACTGAGCTTTGGTGCTTCGGAGATGGAATCTCCTGGGACTTCATAAGGAAAGACTAAGTGTACTATTAGCATTTTGGTTTCTTAACCTGGATATCCTTTCCAGGTTCTTGAATATTGCTCTAGGGCTTGTTTCCTTTGTCGGGCATTAACAAAGACTAGACATTTCTGTGGCTACTGCATTAGATCTGACCACTGTTAGCTGTTGAGTCAGTGTTTTTTTTTTTTTTTTACACCTTTATTCATCTAAGGATGAAAAAGCAGAATGACACCAGTGTATCAGCCTAGATTGACATGCTTTTTATAAAAATAAGTCTCGACAGTTTAATATTTATGCCTTGTGAATAACACCCATCAACGGCATATTTGTTTGGTCAGAGGAGAGTTACTGCTAGCTAGAGGCTGCGTCTCTTTTTGTTCTGTCTTCCTTTAACTCCTTTATCTGCCCACATACTTGAGTTTGTCGCTATACTCAATAACTGGAGTCTCGGATAAATGTGATTTACTGACATATTTTTCTGCACTGTGCTGTTAATGTTAAGTGTGGGAACAGGAAGCTCCTGATATAGAAAGATCTAGAGCTATGTTCATCAATCTACAATTCAAATGTATTTTATAACTTATAGTTTCACATAACAACCAAAGTCTTTAATTTCATGTAATAATTTTATATAAAAGCAATAGTTCACTATTGTCGATATCATGAAGTAGTCTGAAACACTCACAGGGTGGTATTATTAGAACCTGATTATCTAAGATCAATACTTTATTTTTAAATTTTATTTCCTTGTAGCTCAGGACCCCTGTACCCAAGGCTGACCTTATTCTGTGGTTAAATGTGATGAACATGGTGTTGCATTTTACTTCTGCACCTTGAAGGTCTGCAATGCTACATGCCTTAAGTTGCAAACATGAAACTTTATCTTTTTTTTTTGTTTTGTTTCTTTTACCTTCTTGTTGTTGAACCTCTCCTAATCCTCCTTCTCCAGGGATGGCAGCCATCCGTAAGAAGCTGGTGATAGTTGGAGATGGAGCTTGTGGGAAGACCTGCCTTCTTATAGTCTTCAGCAAGGATCAGTTCCCTGAAGTCTATGTTCCCACGGTGTTTGAAAACTATGTTGCTGACATCGAGGTGGACGGCAAGCAGGTAGGACATTCTCATCCATTAACCTAACTGAGTGCTTTTTTTTTTTTCTGAGGGATAACTGCCTGCCAAGCCTCTCCATTCACAAAGTGCTGTCCTCATTCTGGGGAGCTTTGACTGAGTCTTCAGTGGCCAGTTAATTTTTAACCCTTTGCTTTAAAGAATGAGGCGCACACCACTTCATGTGGGTCAGAATGTTATAAACATGTTGATTTAATCAGAAATGCAGTCAATGTTTTAACACAGAGTACCTCAGATCCATTCCATCCTGTTTTTACTTGTTTCATCTTCTTTAAAAAGTAGCTTTGGGTTCATGTTGATGTTTACCTCAGGTGGAGTTGGCTCTCTGGGACACAGCAGGTCAGGAGGACTACGACAGGCTGAGACCCCTCTCCTACCCAGACACTGACGTCATCCTCATGTGTTTCTCCATAGACAGCCCTGACAGCTTAGGTGATTATAAACCACAGAGCCACATAAGTGTTAAAGTGTAACATAAAACTCAACACTTCTATTTTTCCAAAGCACTTTCCTATTATTGCAGTGTGATATTTTTTTGTCGATCAAGATCATCAAGCTGTGACTTTTAAAACTTTTTGAAAAGGAATATTTGGCAAACCCTAAAATAAAATGTTTAGCTTTCACATTTTTCAGCTGTAACATGAGTCATGTTCTTCTTTTTTCTCTTATAACAACATGCCTTCTCTTGTTTTGCACACATTAGTTAGTACCCAAAGGCTTTTTAATTGGCAAATCAGAAAATTTAGTAAATCTAATAGCTGTTGAAAAGCTAATTTATACAAAAGCTGTCACTTTATTGAGGGTTTTGTTTAATTGTCCATCTAGAGTACATCTACCCTCCTTGATCAGTCTTGCTATGAGTCAATAATCCATTTCTTTCTCTCAGAAAACATTCCTGAAAAGTGGACCCCGGAGGTCAAACACTTCTGTCCAAATGTCCCCATCATCCTGGTAGGAAACAAGAAAGATCTACGTAATGACGAGCACACACGCCGAGAGCTGGCCAAGATGAAACAGGTATCCCTTGATTGCTTTAATGTAGGGATTAGATTATCATCTGAAATGATGCTCTGACTGATTTAATGTCATTTACTAAATGTATGATTTTTACTTGAAGCTGTTATGGGAATTTAAACTCTGAAGTTTCTGGGGTAAAATTAGTTGAAAATCTATTAATCATATCCTAAATATGCATGTGAGATTTGTAGTGAAATAAAAACTTCTTTTTTTAAGTTTGTCTTTAAAATATCCTCTTTAAAAACTGTCTGAACTTAATTAATGTTTAATAGGTTTCAATTTTTTTTTCTTACAAGATTGGGGCATTCAGTGTGATGTTTATTAGACGGGTATTGAACGTGATCTTATCATTCCTTTTTGTTGAACTGTCAGATTGTTGTGTTGTTGTCCTAATTGGTGCGTAGACATGTTGATGAAATATTGGCAAATAACGTGCACAGTTGGCCCTAAATTGAAGATGAGATTAAATAATTATGTCATTTCGCTTTGGAAGAGGCAAAGAACTGTCTCTTTCATCAACTTTTACAGTAAATGTGTTTTATTCCTAAATTCCTGATTTGTCTCTTCATTCAACAGGAGCCGGTAAAGTCGGAGGAAGGCCGGGACATGGCAGGGCGCATTGCAGCTTTTGGTTACATGGAGTGCTCTGCAAAAACTAAGGATGGAGTACGGGAGGTTTTCGAGATGGCCACCAGGGCAGCGCTCCAGGCCCGTCGTGGGAAGAAGAGCAATAAATGTGCACTGCTGTAAAAGGGCAGACATATTTGGACTGTTTTCGTCCTGGGCTGTTACACCCAGGGATAGGGCTCAGTGGGGAAGGAGGGATTACTAGAAAGACAGGGAGGGAAGGGGAAATAAAGACTGCAGTACATGACTACCGCTGTAAACTGGCTGTTTGTTGGACTCTATTTACCCTAGGACTTGGGTTTAGGAAGGAGGGAGCAAAGGAACTGACTACCGCTGTAAAGCATCGGGCTCTTCACCTGTGTGTGTTTCATTGGGGCGGGAGATTAACACCAGCTACCAGCCAAGAGTTGGTTATATTTGGTCTTTTTTTTCTGTTTTGCAAGCCACTGACACTGATTGAGAAATCCCAGTCCACTGTCAGACTGGTTAAACTTGGTTTTTAAGCAGACTGGAGTTAAATTATTTACTAGGAGACGACTATTCAGGTTTTAGTTTGGATTTAGGGCTGAAATTGGATCGCCCCAAAGATTTCAGATGATGCAGGCAGCAAACCAGAGCAGTAGTTCTCAATTTGTTTTTTGAATGCAGTGACAAAATTACTTGAACTGGGTATAACACCAGTGAACATTAGCTGTCAACAGGACTATCCTAGATCTTTCTGTAAGATACCAAATGAGCAGACTGGGTAGTTTAACCTAGTGTGCTCCCATGCTCATACCTCTGTTGCTTGATTCTCTCACTGGGTCTAATCCTGTGCTCATAGACTCTGAGACAAACACTTTGAGGTTTAGCCTGGCTAGGATAATCTACAGGTGACCTGTTAATACATGCTTCATCCCCAAAAAAAAAAAAAAAGCAAGCTCCATGCTGACTGTGTTGTTTCAAGCTGTTGGCAACGTCCAGAAGATCACTGGAAAATTACTTGTGGCCATGCATCGCAAGTAAACACATGCTGGCCTTTACTGCTCCTGGTGTATTTACTTAGAGAATGTATTCAGCCATTATTTGCATGCTCTTTTTACATTTAAATCTGTTCGCCTGAATCAGTGGAAGTGGCAGAGAAAACCTTGTCCCGATGGACAACAAAGGTGGCTTCCTGCCCTGCATAGCGGGGGCCTGACCGGCTTCAATCCCTTCCTGTTCCACTTAGCTGACTGCTGGTGCTCACCTTGCCCTGACTTTTAGACCAGGACAAAGAACAAGGCGAGGGAGGGAGGGAGGGTGGTTGGGTTATATTGTTTACATGCACAAAAAACTGATTCTCTGTTTTGGGATGAACAATGAAATCCTTGTGTGTTGGCATGTAAAAAGGTTGACCGTAAAATGACAATTCATTTTCGAGAGGAAGTAAGGTGCCTCTGATGGACGGTCATTAACATGTTTGACTTAGATTGGTAAACCGCTTCCATTTTTGTTTTTTGTTTTTTTTAGCACAGTGGAAAACGATGTGTAATAAAAAGCAAAAAAAATGTTTATCTGTAATATTTTATATGGGAGCGTCAGCGTTATTGGGTTGGCCAGCCGGATGGATCTTGTTAATGCCATCTTAAGTGTCTGTGCAGTTAAAGAGTTAACCGCCTGCAGTCTATTTTATTTTATTTTTTAGGACCTTTTCTGAAAAGGGGTGTGGCCAGTCTTTATTTGGCTTAATCAACAAGGTTATTTGTGTTTTTAACTGGCAGATTCAGGGTCTCTTGGCAGCATTATACCCTCCTGTTCTTCTTCCTGGCCTACTGGGTGGAGCCTGTTCCTGAAACCAGTCTTGTGTTGAATTATAATTTTATTTCCAACCCCCCCCCCCCCTTTTTTTTTTTTTTAAGTCATAAACATGTCTATCAGTATTTAAGAAAATAGGAGGTGGAAGTCTAGGGAATCACTCATGTTGCTTAAGTTTTTTTTTTTTTTTTTCCCTTCTTGGCGCTTTACCGGTATTGTTCTGATGATTTACATTTGGTTGTAAGAAACCATTAATCATCCCTGCCAAATGCTGTTGTTAGGCAGTCAGGAGAAAGGCTGGCCTCTCGGCTGCCTGTCTAGAGCATCGCCAGGGCCACAAGTGCTGGCTTTTTTTTTTTTCTGTTTTGCACACAAACCTGGCTGAAAAGACGGGGGGGCATATATGGGCTTGAGTCTCATAATGTACAAATCATTTTTTGTTAGATTTTACTCTTGATTTTTAATTCCTGATTTTTCGAATGCTGAAGCAGTAAACAAAGGAACAGAAAATAAAAAAACATGCTGTATGCAAAGTCTGTAAATATGAAAAGGGGTTTGTTCATACTAGACTATACACACGCACATGACTGGAAACTATTTGTAAACTAGCTTTGGTTTGTGTAATAAATTACTTTCTATAACACCCATCTCATGCTCATTGTGGTTTCAAGGGTCTTTATATGTCAATAAAATGTGACCAAAACATCAAAATCTGATCAGTTACTGTATCCCACCAGGTATTTTGAATGAACAAGTTACTCAAACATGTTATAATCCAGCTTGTCAATGTCAATTTCCAGCTGTTCCATACGCATGCAGAAGAATCCACTTGATGTAAAGGCATAAACATTCCCCGTTCTTGCACTTCCTGTAAAATGGCTAAAAGGCAACATACCACCACAGGCCAGGCTAGGTACATACCTGGGTAGAGGCCGGGTTCGTTAAACCAACATATTAAACAGTGGAGAAATGACACAATCGGCACTGATTACATTTTCATATATAGATGCAAGGTTTAATTTTCATTATACAGTGAAATATGTATTTGAACACCTTGCTATTTTGTAGTTTCTCCCACTTAGAAATCATGGATCTGAAATTGTCAAAGTAGGTGCATGTCCACTGTGAGACACATAATCCAGAAATACCTATGATTTAAAAAAAAAAAAAAAAAAACTGATTTGTATGATACAGCTTCAAAAAGGTATTTGAACACCTGCCTTTCAGCTAGAATTCTGACCCTCAAAGACCTGTTAGTCTGCCTTCAAAATGTCCACCAATACTGTTATTTAATATCCTAAATCAGATGCACCTGTTTGATGTCGTTAACTGCATAAAGACACCTGTCCACCCCACACAATCGGTAAGAATCCAACATGGCCAAGACCAAAGAGCTGTCCGAAGACACTAGAGACAATTTTACACCTCCACAAGGCTAGAAAGGGCTACTCGCGAAATTGCCAAGCAGCTTGGGACAAAAAATGTCCACTTTTGTAGCAATCATTAGAAAACTGAGGAAGCTAAACAATGTCAGTGTTGATCTCCCTCAGACTGGGGCTCCATGTAAGATATCACCTTGTGGGGTCTTAATGATCCTCAGAAAAACGAGAAATCAGCTCGGAACTACAGGAGAGGAGCTGGGATCAACATTTCCAAGGTTACTGTTGGTATTACAAGAAGTCATGGTTTGAAACACTGATTTCTATTTATTCACTGCATGGCTGATGGCCCGTTGGTAGTATGGGGTGAAGTGAAGCCAACGGCCGCCATATTGATACTCCTTAGATAGACCGGTCGCAATATAAAGAATACGTGCGCTACAGCATCAAACAAGGATGATCCCAATTTCAGGGGGGCTAACGACTTTCAAAATAAAGATTCATTCATCACTTGGAAACACACTTTCTGTTTCATAGCATAAGTACATTACTGTAATTTAGGATTAAAAAAGGCACATTTCATTGCATAGCCGTTATGAAGTCAATGAAGCCTTAAATCATGTGATGTGACATGTTATACAGGTACATCACAAATAAAATAA